TACTGTACCTGCATGTAGGAGAGTTGATGGCGTAAGTGGAAGGAAAGAGATGTTTTTTGTTTGGAAAGGGAAAGACATGATCGTCTTTTATTTATAAGTTAATAGTAATATAGATCATTGATTTTGCCATATGAAACTGAGCAGGAAGATACATCATCATCAACAATTGTTTTTATCTTTTCTTTTTCCTTTACCAGTATCATTGCTAGCTTTATTTGGAGCCATGACTGAGGACTAATGAAGAGAAAAAAAAAGGCACAGTACAATAAAATTGGAAAAGAAAAACACAGAACAACACACGAATGTATACAACATGGCGGTCGACTAAGAAATGATTCCATTCGGGTTAACTAGGTTCGGCAATGTTATTCGAGAACCGAAATTTTGTTCGATAACCGAGATATTTTCATCTCGAATATTCTGCTCGAAAACCGATTTGTTCGACATGTGAGACGCTCGACAACTGAGATTCCACTGTAAATAGTCAAAAGCAATATTGAATGAAAATCACAAAGAAGTCGAAAGATAAAAAGAAAGAAAAGAGAAACTACATAAATAATTAAAAGCAACATTTGATGAAAATCACAAAGAAGTTGAAAGGTTTGGTTTGGTTTGGTTTACGGCATATCAACCATAATGGATTATTTAATGTCGACAAGATTTTTATTGCTAGTAATATTTTTTTTCTCAAAATGTTTTGCTGGTAATAATGTATTGCCGGTGATAGTTTTTTTTTTTTTAAATTTATTGCTGGTATTAAAACCTATTTTTACATTTTCATAGTGTTTTAACCACAGTTTGGGAGTTAACTATTTGCCCAGAGTTGGGATCCTAACAGGTGCTACCATCCCGAGTCAGGGTTGACCTGGAGACACCAGCAATTAAGAGGTGGCTCCACGCGCCTCAAAACCTCCAGATCAGAGGTCTTGCTGTTGGACGTAGTTAATCGTCTTACCCAGAACGCGCGTGTAGTTTATCGTCTTACCCAGGACGCGGATGTAGTTTATCGTCTTACCCAGGACGCGCGTGTAGTTTATCGTCTTACCCGGGACGCGCGTGTAGTTTATCGTCTTACCCGGGACGCGGATGTAGTTTATCGTCTTACCCAGGACGTGCGTGTAGTTTTTCGTCTTACTCAGGACGCGAGTGTAGTTTATCGTCTTACCCGGGACGCGGATGTAGTGTATCGTCTTACCCGGGACACGGATGTACTTTATCGTCTTACTCAGGACGCGAGTGTAGTTTATCGTTTTACCCAAGATGCGGATGTAGTTTATCGTCTTACCAAGGATGAGGATGTAGTTTATCATCTTATCCAGGACGCGGATATGGTTTATCGTCTTACCCAGAATGCGGATGTAGTTTATCGTCTTACCCAGGACGTGGGTGTAGTTTATCGTCTGACCCAGGACACGGGTGTAGTTTATCGTCTTACCCAAGACGCGGGTGTAGTTTATCGTCTGACCCAGGACGCAATAATAAAAGGGAGAATAAAGGACGTAAAATGAACGAACAAAAACAAAGATATTAAAGTAATACTGTATAAAACTCAAAAAGTTGAGTAAAGAAAAAACGGAGAACAAAAAACGAAAGATATGAATAATTAAAAGCAATATTGAATGAAAATCAGAAAAATGGTGAAAAGATAAATAACAAGGAAAACAGGAACGGAAAAAAATAAAAATATTGAAAAAAATTTCAATGATATTGAAAGCTGAAAAAAGAAAGAACGAAAAAAAAAGGAACGAATGGGATAAAATATAAATGAAGTTGTTAAAAGCAATATCGAATGAAAATCAAAAAGAACAAAGTATAAAAAAAAGAACGAAAGAGGAAAGAACAAAAAAAAAAGAAAGAAAGAAAAAATTAAATGTAATATTAAATGAAAGTATCAAAGAAGACGAAAGAGAAAATGAAACAATATATAAAAAAAAAAGAACGAATAAAGAAAGATTAAAAAATTAATATTTTTTGTGATGTCAGCGAACACATATTTTTTGTGATTTCAGCGGATACACATTTCCACTTTTGTGATGTCAGCGAATATTCGTTATCACTTTCGTAATGCTCGTTGTAGTAAAGACTTTGAAATCGCAGATACAACTATAGTAACGCCGTTGAACAATGCTGGTGTCTGACGGCTTCGAATAGCACACGCACTAATAGTACTTGTTCGATAATACTCGCTCGAAAAGTAACTACCGTACAGTGATCCGTATAGTCGTCTAGGGATCCTCTCTGCCGGAAGGCACAGAGTATGACCAGCACACTTCCGAAGTAATCTGTTTAATTATTTACCCGCTTCCCCACGCAACAAGATGTGGCACAAGGCCGAATAGTGATTTTCCAAGCGTAGCTTAGATGTGCCACAAAGCCGAAAGTATAGGGCACCCAGTGAGGATCGAACTCACTACACGGTCGTAAGTGTTTTAGCGAGACAAGCTTGCTAACCATTACACCACCTCGAAGAGCCCCCGAAGTAATCTGTATAGTTATTTTCTAAGTGTAGCTTAGATGTGGCACAAGGCCGAATGTATGGGACACCTAGTGAGGATCGGACTCACTTTTCAGTCGTAACTGATCTAGCGAGACAAGCTTGCTAACCCCCCCCCCCGCCGAAGTAATCTGTATAGTGATCGCTTAGACGGTAATTCCCATATATACATTTCCTTTCCTATCACGTGATCTACTTATTCAAAATGGGATCGCCTGTGTTTTCTCTCTGGCGATCTGTGTTCAAACTCTAGTGTCGGCAGGGACACTTTATTCCTATATAACAATATTGAATGAAGATGCGAAAAGGCTACAAAATAAAGACTAAAAAAGAAAGAAAAAAAAAACGAACGAAATATATAAATGAAGAAAAAAAATCAATAAAATATGTCTGAAATAGAAAGAAATGAAAAAACTCCCAAAAAACGAAGTTTAGAACAAAGGAATGATATATATATATATATATATATATATATATATATATATATATATATATATATATATATATATATATATGTATGTATGTATGTGTGTGTGTGTATGTGTGTAAAAATATACAGAAAATAGGAAAGAACTGGTTAGGTAAATAATTCAAAGTTCTTTAGTATTTTTGTTATTATTTTTAAAAAATTAACACGTAAATTTCAGAAATAAGTTATTCCCAAAAAAATTTCGCTTGAAGATGGAACAGACCTTACTTTAATTCAATTTAATTCAAATAATTATATTGAAGTTTTCAGCTCTTGTTTTGAAACATGAAAACTCTTATGTAGCGTGTTGGAATCATATTTTAAATAAATAATTATATATATATATATATATATATATATATATATATATATATATATATATGTATGTATGTATGTATGTGTGTGTGTATCTGTGTGTGTGTGTGTGTGTGTGTGTGAATGATCTAAACAAAACGATTTCATAAAAAGAAGGAAAACGAAAAAAAAAGAACGAAGCAATGAATGAAAAACAACAGAAGGAAATAAAACCAAAAGAAAGAAAGAAAGAAAGAAAGAAAGAAAGAAAGAAAGAAAGAAAGAAAATAAAGAAATGTATGTGTGAAAGAAAAGGCGAAGACATGAATGTATTATTTTTTCGGAATGGAGAAAATAAGGGGAAAGAATTGTACGATATAAAAGAATAAGGATGAGAAAAATGAAAGGCGAAATAAGGAAGGAAAAGAAAGAATGAAATGCGTCAGAAGGAAATCGAATCAAAAGAAGAAGAGAAAGAAAGAATGAATAAAGCATTGCATGTATGAAAGAAAAGCTGAAGACGAATGTCTTTTTTGATAAAAAGTAAACATGTTTAAAATTTCTCGAAATGAAGGTAGAAGAAGAAAAGAAAAATTGAACAAAAAAAAAAAAGAATAAGAATGATACAAACATGAAAGAGAAAAAAGGAAGGAAAATAAATAAATAAAATATGTCGAATATGAATGTAAAAAAAAAAAAGCTATGACAACGAATCGGGGCTGATTGATGAAAAGACTTAGCGGAAGAAAACTAAAGAACCAATCCAGACATATTAATAAAACCTTATTTCTATCGGCCCATCTTTTTGCAAAACCCCACTTTGGAAAATTTCTCCCTTTTAAGAAAATCCAGGGTTCTTACTGTAAATATTTGAGTCCCCCACATTTATTTATGCAAATGTGGAGAAATAAAAATAAAAAAAGATTTTTTTTTTATTTCTTCACATTTATATATTTTTAAGCTGCGAACAAAAAAATCCATCTATCGGCCTGAATATTTGTGTAATCATATTTTTAAAAAAATGCGTTCTATGGAAGGATTCGAACCTGCGTTAACCAAGGGGAGACCGTCATTTTAACGCTGGTTCCTGTCCTACCGGAGATCGCATATTTTTCTAAAAAGATTTCTCGAATATTCAGGCGAGTAGATTGTATTTTTCAGCGCGCCCACGTCCCTACCGAATGTGACACATGGCCGAAATTTAGATGTGGGTTTTCCAACAGGACAGTGGAAAAATTGTCCAAGCTTACACTTTTGTGGACGCCTCAGAAAACCAGGCAAAAAATCCAGCCCCCAAAGGAACTTAGGCTCAAGATTTTTAACCTTCCCAACACCCCCAAAGATCTTCAGGCCGGTGGATGGAAATAAATAAATATAATGTTTAATAAATAAACAGAGCATCTACTCAAATACAGGTATCTATTAAAAACAATGTTTACACAATATATATATATATATATATATATATATAAATTATCAAATGAACTTACAATATTTGAATAACGAGATAAAAGAGGTGAGAATTATAGTATTAATGTGAACTAAGTAGTCTGCTAATTAATCCTTTTACTATTTAACATAGAGTTCAGAGGAAAGATACTTTGAAGTTTGTAATGTTGACACCGTGACTAATGTCATGTCTGTAATGACGACAGATAGAGGCCTCTCCAATTCACACGAACTCGAGAAGAAAGATAATCAGATGCAGAGAAGTTCAGAGTGTGCACCCATTTAAATGTATGCATGAAAAAGAACGTAGCTGGCGAGACTAATTTGCAGAAAATGAGATCGTTCGTAAAGATTAATTATCTTGTAATATTGTAAAGGATTGGCGGTTTTCAGAGAAATCTTTCCTTTTACATTGTTTTGTTTTTTTTTGTTTTTTTTTTTTGCTTTTATTATTGCCACAAATTAGTGAAAGCGTTCCTTCAACACCGGCCATGACAACTGGATTTCGATATCCGTCTGAAGAATAAAATACTTTCGTGTCCGGCGAATTCATCGCCTACAGTTCATCACAGGAAAATCAGTACGGGGGAAGTTCACCACGAAGAAAATTGGTCGCTTGGAAAGTTCACCACGAGGAAAGTTCACCGCGAGGAAAGTTCGCCGCAGGGAAAGTCCACCGCGAGGAAAGTTCGCCGCAGGGAAAGTTCACCGCGGAAAAAAGATCACCACTAGGAAGGTTCACCGTGAGGAAAGTTCACTGTGAGGAAAGTTCACTGTGAGGAAAGTTCACCGCGAGGAAAGTCCGACGCAGGAAACGCTCACAGCGAGGAAATTTCACCGCACGGAAATTTCGCCGCAGGAACGTTCACTGCGAGTAAAGTTCGCCGCGAGGTAAGTTCACCACCAGGAACGTTCGCCGCAGGAAACGTTCACCGCGAGGAAAGTTCGCCGCGAGGAAAGTTCACCGCCAGGAACGTTCGCCGCAGAAAACGTTCACCGCGAGGAAACGTTCGCCGCGAGGAAAGTTCACCGCCAGGAACGTTCGCCGCAGGAAACGTTCATCGCGAGGAAACGTTCGCCGCGAGGAATGTTCACCACAGGGTAAGTTCGCCGCATGAAACGCTCACCGCGAGGAAAGTTCGCCGCAAGTAAAGTTCGCCACAGAAAACGTTTACCGCGGGGAATGTTCGCCGCAGGGGAAGTTCGCCGCGAGGAAAGTTCGCCGCGAGGAAAGTTCGCCGCGAGGAAACGTTCACCGCGAGGAAAGTTCGCCGCATGGAAAGTTCACCGAGAGGAAAATTCACTGCGAGGAAAGTTTGCCGCGAGGAAAGTTCACCGCAGGAAAAGTTCACAGCAAGGGCAGTTCGCCACGAGGAAAGTTCATCTCGAAAAAGGTTCACCACGAGGGAAGTCCAGTGCGAGGAAAATTCAACTCGGCAATAGTTTCACCGTAAAAGGATAAAAATTAAACAATAAATGTTCCTAATTTTATTGATCAACGTATCTAAAGCTTTCTTTGAAAATAATAACTGTCATTATTCGCTTTAATTAAATTAATGTAAGAATTAAAATTTATATTAATTCTAAAATTATTAAGTATAAAATCCAATGAATTTATACGTTAAATATTTAGAAAAATATGACAAACTGGAAAGGTTTGTTTTTTTGTTTTTTTTTTCTGTGACGCGTTTCATCCTTTTGGGATTCCATGAGTATAAGGAATGAAACGCTTCACAAAAAAAAAAAAGAATAAGAAAATGCTGTTTGTTGATATATAAAAGTATACAAAATTATGTATCTTTATATCACACGGTAAAATATCCGCATGGTAAACTTTTTTTCTGACGAAGAACTTTACTCGAGATGAACGTTTCTCTCGGTGAAGCTTCCTAGTGATTAACTTTCCTCAAGGTGATTTGATGGCGAGAAACTTTTCCTACAGTGAACTGGTGTCGGTGAACTAATCTGTAAACGAATAATTTAAACACAAGTTTTCGCTGTTGTTGATTGAAAATGTTATTAGTTTTTGTCATTCACTCTTTATTTTATTTATTGGAAAGCAGCAATGATCAGAAACAGATGCAAGTATTACTGAGATAAGTGGGCCATTATTTTATAGCCTGAACTCACAAATAAACATTTAGTAAAAAATTTTCCACGATTGAAACAAGCGCTCATGAACGGGTGCTCCCACAGGGAGGACCGTGCCTTGCGCGCACATTTGGGACTAGATTACAGGTAGAACTATAACACACGACCTATCGCTAAAGATGTTGGAAAAATGGTCAGTACCCTGTAACGCTCCAGGGGGTACCTGATTCCTCCCGCTATTCTCTACATTTACAAGAGCCAGATAAGGCCACAAATGGAATAATGCTGGCGTATATAGGCAGCAGCTTAAGAGCCTTCACTTTCCAATCTCGATAATGTTCAAAAGCGTCTAAGCGTCCTTGTGGGCGATGAATTATTTTCCCGCCTACAAAACCCTTTCCTACCGAGGAAAAGTCGCAAACTTCTCACCATGCCTTGAGCGTCCATTTGTGACTTAACTCAGCCCAGACCTCAAGTGGAACTCGTATATACGATCTATCACTAAAGATGCAGGCAAAATGATCAGTTCTCTGTACCGCTTCAGCAAGTAAGTAACACCTCGTCCTATCTTTTACCTTTACAAGAGCCAGTTCAGACTAAAAATGGAGTACTTCTGCAGTATTTAACAAAAAGCAGCCCAGTCCTCACTTTCCAGTACAAAGACGTTTCCGCGTCCTTGTGGGTGACAATTTATTTTCTACCCTGCAACCTTTTTCTCACACATCAAATGTAGCAAGCCTCGTACTCATCTATCACTATTTCCATAAAGTGTTCAGACGAACGACATTCCTTAGTTCCACTAGATTTAAACATCACGGCCAAGCACACCATGCCACGTGGATAGCAGTTAACCGCCTTTATTTCCTTTGTATTCCATTGGGGAGATGTAAGTTCCAGCCGGTCAGCTTTTTCCCCACGAACAGCTTCTTTTTCGGAACCGATTCCAAAGAGGATGCTTCCTAGATCACGACAATCTTAACCTGTTCATATCTAGGGTTAACCGTTACCTTAGTTTTAACCTTCACGGTTAGGACCCGCCCTGCTACGCGCATTGTAACGAACCATCATCCGTATTCCATTGGTGAGATATAAATTCCACTCAAACAGCTTCTTCTCGCCAACCACTGCTCTGTGGAACCGACTCCCAAGGTTATGTTTCCCCGATCACTACAATCTTAATCCGTTCAATTCTAGGGTTCACCGCTAGCTTCCCCACCTATCCGCATAAACTGTGCTTCTTACTTTGTAACTACCTTCTACCTTGAGTGGCTCTTGGGCTTTGTACAGTGTGAAAACCATTACAGAAGACGAATTGAGCTGCTTTAAGGCTTGCGCTTTGGAGTTTTAAGACAGATAACATGTAAATGTGCATTAATGTGTCCAGATCTTGATCTAGAGGTGTAAGTATACCTATTCATTTGGCCACCGTCAGCAACATCGCAAAATTGAAGTATTTCTACCGTATCAGGACTGGAGCTGTCCAAACCTTTCTTTACTGCCTTCACAGATTTCAAACGCGTTTTAATTGTAGGCGATGACTTATTTTACACCCGACAACCTCTATCCCAGACATGCAAAGCCGCAAGACTATTACTACATTATGGATATTTCTCTTGAAAATGTTCTGACAAACTACAGTGCTGTTCGATAAAAGTGACTCACCTGATTTTTTTTTTTTTTTTTACTAAATATTCTCTTCTCCGATGAAACGAAAGTTGAGCTAAATTCAAAGGATAAGCGATCTAAAATCCGAAGAAAAAGCTTTGAAAGCTCTTTGAATTTAGCAGTAAGTACTGTCAAGTATCCATTCACTATAATGTTCTGAGGATGCTTTTCTTTTCGTGGAACTGGTTTCTTAAATCCTATTCAAAAGACCCTTAGGAGCGAGCAGTACAAGAGAATTTTAGAGTCTTGTCTGCTCCCCTCTGCTGAAAGGGTGCAAATCGACACCACCAAGCTTATTTTTATGCAGGATAATGCTCCCTGTCACAAATCAAAATTGATGAAGGAATACTTTGAGGAGAAGCAGGTGAGTGTTATGACATGGACGCCCCAATCACCTGACCTCAACCCCATAGAAAACTTATGGAGGATCTTGCTCAACTGCTTTCTAGAGCCAATACTTTATAATGCTCCATAAGTTTTCTATGGGGTTGAGGTCAGGAGATTGGGGCGGCCATGTCATAACACTCACCTGCTTTATCCTGCATAAAATCATGAGCTTGGTGGTGTCGATTTGCACCCTTTCAGCAGAAGGGAGCAGACAAGACTCTAAAATTCTCTTGTACTGCTCGCTCCTAAGGGTCTTTTGAATAGGTTTTAAGAAACCAATTCCATGAAAAGAAAAGCATCCCCAGAACATTATACTGAACGGATGCTTGACAGTACTTACTGCTAAATTCAAAGAGCTTTCAAAGCTTTTTCTTCGGATTTTAGATCGCTTATCCTTTGAATTTAGCTCAACTTTCGTTTCATCGGAGAAGAGAACATTTATTAAAAAAAATCAGGTGAGTCACTTTCATCGAACAGCACTGTACATTCCCCAGTTCCACAGGTACCAGGACCGGGAGCCACCCGAGCTGTTTATGGGGATAGGGGGCAAAGATGTTGGTTAACCCTAGAAATGAACAGATTACGATTGTAGTGATCAGGAAAACATACACTTGGGAATCGGTTACACGAAGTGGCGGTTCGTGCGAAGAAGCTACTCGAGTGGAACTTACATCTCACTAATGGAATACGGATGGTGGTTCGCTAAAATGCGCGTAGGATGGCGGGCCCTAGCCGCGAAGGTTAGAACTTGTGGAACTAAAGAATGTAGTTTGTCTGAGCACTTCCTATTGAAGTAGTGATATAGAAGTAAGAGGTTTGGTACATTTCATGTTTGAGAGAGAGAGAGAGAGAGAGAGAGAGAGAGAGAGAGATTGCAGGATGGAAAATCAATTGTCTCCCACAAGGACACGTAAACGATACTGTACTGCTTCTGCCCAAATTCTACAGAAGTACGCCATTTTAGGTCTGACCTAGCTCTTGTAAAGGTAAAAAATAGCACGAGGTGTCACGTACGTGGAACCGGTCGTTATTTTCCTGCATCTTTAGCGAGAGATCGTATGTACGAGTTCCACTCGAGGTCTGGGCTGAATTTAAGTCCCAAATAGACGATAAAGGTATGGGACCACCCTGAGGGGTCATCCATTCATTAAGGTTGGTGAAAGTTCCGGATCCGATCACCGATGGTGGAATGTTACTAGTTTGGTTTTCGAGGTATTGAATGTAACCAACCAGTATATCTAAGATCCGCCCTGACAGTTACACAAGGTCGAACCATTTTTATTCATTTAGAAGAACAATTTCTTCTCAATAGCTACTACTTTGTGGAACCGTCTTTTGGAAGGATTCTTCCTTGTTCACTAATCCTAACTTCTATTTAGCCTACATATTCCCATAATTTACAATTCTTATATCCATAAAATAAGCTTATCCAATAATTCTTTACCTTGAGTCACTCTTAGGTCTTCTTCTATGTGCCGTGTTTCTTCAGTATATTGGGGTTGATGGCTCTCCACAACGTCCAATCATTTGTAGCTTTTAATAAGGTTTTTCTTTTTACAATATCTTCTAATACCAGCTCTATTAACCATTTACACAAGATTTTTAGGTAGATCTTTTGATAGGCTCGTTTGCCTATTTACCTTTAATATATCGTGCAATTGTTAAATTCTCCAAGCCGCCTTTCCTCAATATGTAACCTAAAAAATTCAAATGTTTCTTTCTAATTCTAAGTGTCCTTTTTCGTTTCCATTTTTCCTAAGACGGTATCGTCACTCACATGTTCACTTCATAGTATTCTCATCATCCTTCTGTAGTACCACATTTCTGTTGCTTCAAGTCTCTTTCCCATCTGGGATGAGATTGTTCGGCATTTGCTTCCATATAAGAGGATTGATATTACATAACAGTTCAGTAGTCTTTTCCTTGTTTCTAACAAAATGATCCTGTTTCTTAATACATTGCTTTGCTTTGGGTTAGCGAATATTGCTATTTCATTGTGTCTTCAGATTTCGGTGCCAAATGTTCCGTCCTCTGTTGAAACCCTTCCCGGATATTTAAATTCTTGTACTTGCTTGATTTTAGTGTTTCCATTTTATAGTTTGCATCTTCGGATGTTTCTTTTGTTGGCAACTATGCATTCTGTCTTCTTAAAATTGAAGATCTTGTCTGGCGGAATTTCCATGGAGTAATGCATTTCAAGCTTCTTCAACGCGGTTGTGCCATGAACGCTAAACTGTGCCGCCAGCAGCTAGACCGCGTGTAAGACAAACTAAGGAAAGAGTCCTTTCTTCTCGCTTTCCTTTACAACATAAAAATCACCGATGCTTCACGGTCCATTTTGCACAACAGTTCTCTGAAATAAGAATGCAGCCTCTTGAAGAGGCACTAACTTGAGACTCGTCTCAAAACCTGAGACTTGTCACAAAACTTGAAACTTGTCTCAAAACTTCAGACTTGTCTCAAAACTTCAGACTTGTCTCAAAACATGAGTCTTGTCTCAAAACATTCTAATTAAACAAAAGCAGTATATTTACATTATTTACAATATTCGGACTGTTATCCTCATCTTCCTTGCCATAGTCACAACGTTTCAGCCTTCTTCAGGTGATTAAAATTTCGAACCGAATCCTTTATGAAGATTAGAATAACCGTCCGAATAATGTAATTAATTTAAATAATCATAATACTCATCACAGAGATATGGACAGATATTGAAAAGCAGTATATGCTGGTCGCCATAACATGATTATATATATATATATATATATATATATATATATATATATATATATATATATATATATGTGTGTGTGTGTGTGTTTGGTTGACCAGAAAGTCCTAAGTCATTTAGGAAGAGGAAACAAAACAACATAATTTTATTGAGCAACACCAGAATTTATTCTTCAAAATAAAGTCCCTCCTTCTCCAAGATCTTCTGTCAGCGATCAGCCAGCATCCGAATCTGTCCCAGATACCCGTCCGCTCGCAGGGTGGAGTAGTGGATAGCAGCTTGCATTGAGGAATCACTGAGTTCGAATTCCAGTCAGATCCATTACATTCACTTACTTGCTAATACCCTTGGGAGAAGGTATGAATCCTCTTCTTCCCCCCCCCCAAAGCTGTGGGTAGTGCACCAGGGTTCTTTATTTGGCCCTTTCAAAAAGTGTGAATGGTTCTGCACAAAGACTTCAGCACTATAATCAAATCATAATTAGAGAATGGTAATTAGTGAAAAGCTAATTGATCCGTGGGAATGTGATCTAGTCTATGACAGCCGCCATGGCTTCCAGAGCGACGTACCAAAACCTTTACCGACATATACCCATATATATATATATATATATATATATATATATATATATATATATATATATATATATATTATATTCTTCAAACAGCGAGGGTTGTATGTTAACATATTTGGATAACATTTTCCAGTTTGCGCATAAGCTGTCGCACATCTGAATCCAATTTACGGAGAAAATATTCAAGGTTTATGATATCTTTATTTTACTCATTCGTTTTATACATTTTATCAACCGATTGCAGCTTATCTAAAGCTAGGAAATATTTTTTAAATTGTAAGATTTTTTTTTTTAATAATAATTAATTACTGATACAAGTCTTATTAAATAACCCATTGCTCTCAGGGGAAAGGTGGAGTCATAACTTTTCCCAAAGATGTTTGTGCGTAACGGAAATTGGAACTCGGCTCTCCGATTAACAATCCGCAGCCGTTAACAATTATACCACTCGCACATCTAAGCTTACAGCAGCTTTTATGCCCAAGAGGTCACCCATCTAGCTACTGACCAGGTTTGACATTGTTTAACTGGTGATCGTACGGCTGTCGGTTCCTAGGAACTGATCTGCTTGATCCTCGAATACGCTGGGAGAGTCCATCACCATATATATATATATATATATATATATATATATATATATATATATATATATATATATATATATATATATATATATATATATATATATATATATATAAAAAAGAAATATGTTGTAGTGGTTCCAACGAGAGAAAAGTATGTATATTGTATTGGCAATCCGAATTTTCTTTCTAAAATTGTCAATGAAGAGTTCTGCGTGAAGGGTCATAAAACAATTAAGGTTTGTCCAGCGAGTAGTTATCGGCATTTAATCTTTTAATGTTTTAGTGACCTCTATGTGCTCTTGGATCTGTTTCTATTTTGGCGTGTTCCTGTCAGCATGCGTGTATATATGCGTGTATATATGCGTGCGTATATTTCCTTACTACATTGACAATTCTAGAAAGAAAATTCGGATTGCCAACACACAAACAGAATGTCTCATATCGAGAATATTCCACATTGAACATGAAGAAAAATTAATTATTTTTAATAATATGTAAAAATCTCCACTTTCACCTGAAGACAGTTGCGAGACCAGACCAGAAACACGTGTCGTGAAATTATGTAAAACAAAGTATAATATTTTTTCTCAATAAATCCACATTACAACCAAAAACGTTTGCGGCACCCCTCTTCTTTTTAATATATATATATATATATATATATATATATATGTGTGTGTGTGTGTGTGTGTGTGTGTGTGTGTGTGTGTGTGCCAGCGTTCTCCAAGAAGTTTCATAAGTTTGGTTTAAAGAGCCAATTAAGTCTTATATATCGTGATAGTGTCCATATAGAGGTGTATGAAATTAGTTAAAAATCTTCAGTAACTACTCGTCATTTTGTAATAAATTTCCTCGTGATTTTATTTGAATTCAACCCGGATCTCTGTTACCAGGAAAACTGATAACAAGAAAATTTGAATGACTTATAAAGGGCCCATGGTGTGTTGTCTGTTCATTTGATTTCGTAATAATTTCTTTTAAATTGTGAAGAGACCTTATGGACAACCTGTACAAACATTATAATTCAAATAGCATACGATTATGCAAAATCTTAACATGGAGGGATCTGGCTTGGATCCAGAGAATTTTGGGCTTCTTATTTTGTTTCTTCGTTTCAGGGCACCAACTAAAGAAAATATAATATAGATAAAATATTCTGAATCGTAATCTATTGACACATCTAACTGCATAGACTCTACCTCTCTTTCTCCCTCCCTCTCTCACTCCTTCTTTCCTTCTTCCCCTGTCTTTCTCTCTATCCCTCTTTCACTCTTTGTCCTTCTCTCTCCCTCTCTCTCCCCTTTCCTCTACTTCTCTCTCCCCCTCTCTCTCTTTCTTTTTCACTCTCTCTTTCTCTCACTCCTTCTCTCTCCCTCCATCTTTTTACTTTTGTTTAAAAACATCAAATTTCATGAGGTTACCAATAAATATCAGCGTGAAAATCTAGCCTCAACATAAACATCTAAAGATCGTTATCGGTTTTTGTTCAACTGACGTCTGAGTTCACTTCAAAAACGAAAACGAGGCTCAGAACCATGGGCCCTTTATAAGTCAGTCAAATGTGAAGAATATGAAAGATTGTTTTGTTATATAATTTTTGTTCTCTTATTGAAAGATGGCTGAATGTGGGCTTTTCTTGTTATCAGCTTTCCCGTTGACAGAGATCCGGGTTGAATTCAAATAAAATTATTTTAGTCTATTAGAAAATATTTTATTCCCACCCAAGAGATAATAGGACTTGATGAGTCTGACAATTGTTTTTAAACACTTCTTTAATTCTTGGAAAAAAATTATTTAGCGTCAGAAATTTCACAGATTAGCACTTGGCGATTGAGAAGTCTTTTTGAACCGGGATATATATATATATATATATATATATATATATATATATATATATATATATAATTATTTTTTATAAAAAAACAAACTATAACATAAATATGTTACCAAGTAGAGCAGATAGTAATTGTTGGTTATTGGAATTCATTCCGTATACACCAATTATATACTTGGGTATATATATATATATATATATATATATATATATATATGTGTGTGTGTGTGTGTGTGTGTGTGTGTGTGTGTGTGTGTGTATATTCTGGCGTACTATATCTGCGGGGGAGGCAAAGTGGTCTATATCAGGAACAGGGCGTATGCAAAATATCAGTAGTGTGGCCATAGATATCAACACAGAATGACGACTGTTTATTTTATACTTAAGCGCAATAATCTGGCCAATAGGATAGTATTAAAGCAAGAAGGAGACTCTCACTATTTGATACCTATGTATTCATGCATTTATATATATATATATATATATATATATATATATATTATAAATTAATTGATTTAAAATATGTTTTTTCCGCTACACAGTTCTAACCATTCTAAAAGCCACGAATTTAATTTTGCAATTAAATTAAAGACATTAGTTCCATTTCATCCTCAAGCGAATTTTGGAGTAACTTTTAAAATTACTGGGTTTTAAAGACACAGATAAAATCACGTTTCCATGGTTACAGTTAAATTTACTTCAACTGGACAAGGGGTGTCTGGGTTTCATTTATGTCTGCATCATTCTATCGGTTATTAGCTACATTTTGGTAAGGGGTAGGGATGTATTTTTCAACGAGAACCGACATCCATTGAATGCATGTCGTCTGGATTTTTTTTTAATTTATTGTTAACGGCAAAAAAATTCTTACGGCATTTTTTTCTATTTGTAAATTTAAAGATTTTCGCGGGTGTTCAGATTAGAATACTTTTTATTTAACTACGATTTTAAGAACACCGGATTATATATCTTACTGTTCTTTATATATATATATATATATATATATATATATATATATATATATATATATATATATATATGCATGTCCACATTCGCTATTCAGGAAAATCCTTGTTGAAAATAAATCTATACTTTTTCAAGAAAATAATAAACATTAACTAAAAATTCTTGAACCTCTCTATATTAAAAAATTGAAACCAACCCTTGATAAAATTATTTATGAACGCCGCGCAAATATTTTAAAATGCTTACAGGAGATAGTTTAAAATATCTAAGTTTTAACTAAAAGTATTAATTAGTTTGTTTGTTTTTAATTATTTAGATATTTTAATTACTTAGTTACATTGTGCTAATGTCGAAAGTACTCGGAATCATGTGAATATGCATCAACATGGTAATTTTCTTTCTCCTATGGATGCCAAAATACTTGTCCGTAATTTCAAGAGAATTATATTAAAATAAGTAGACAAAACTTGTCTAAATTAATTAATGAGACATGTCTATACAAACACACACACACACACGCACACACAAACACATACACACACACACACACACACACACACACACATATATATATATATATATATATATATATATATATATATAAATTATTATCAAAAACAGAACAAATATGGATCAGAATCTGAGAGAATGATGGGATAAAAACAAATAGGAAACGTGTATCAATCTACCATGATTCACTTTTATTCTGAATAAAAATGATAATGGTTTTGTATTTGTTTTTGAAAGCTGAATGTCAATGTCCAGTTAGTATCATTAGTATATATATATACTCTGACACTTTGACGCAGATTCGGAACTTTGATATATTTGGGAAGATATTAGAATAATCAAGTACCTATACTGGCAGCAAAAGGAATGCATGCGGACAGAGAATGGGTTCAGCAAATATACAACAATAGAAAGGCGTGTAAGGCAAGGATAGGTCTTCTCACCAGACCTATTCAACCTATACAGCGAGGAAATTATGAGAGAATTGGAAATCCTACCAGGATTCATTACTGACAGCCACAATCTTAACAACATAAGATACGCAGATAACACAGTATTGATAGCAGACACGGAAAAGAAAATACAAAATCTCCTACAGAAGGTAGCGACGGAGAGTGAGAAGAAAGGACTAAGCATAAATTACAAGACAGAATGCATGGTCATCAGTAAGAGGATGAGCCCGAAATACGATTTACAGGTCGGAGACACTAAAATCAAACAGGTGAGGAAATTTAAATATCTGGGAGTTGTTTTGATAGAGGACGGTAAGTGCAACATTGAGATCCGAAGATGCATCTGATGGCCAAAGACACATTCCAAAAGATAGGCAGAGTATTACGAAACAGGAGGATTTCTTTGGTAACAAAGAAAAGAGTATTGAACTGCTACGTGGCATCTGTTGAGGTGCCGTAAAGGTAATAATGGTCATTGTAATATTTGCCATTTCCTTATAAGGAAACATTTGGCATTCATTAACCGAGCAGCCAATACTGCTTCCGGTTGGAACTGATATAATCTTGCTCTTATAACAGTTTTTCATGAAAGTAGATTTCGCAAGTCTACTATCTGTTATCACTCTTTACGGTATTAATGGGTGTTTCCATCCTAACCTTCTGTTTGAAGTAGAGTCGAATGTCAACGTCTTGATGATGCCATTATTTTCTTTTCGAGTTATGTGTGGTAGCCATTTTAATTGTTGCTGACAGTACACAAGTTTCAAAGAAGGATGGTCTTTGGCAAGACACTCAGGTTTCACGCGCTCTAACAGGTTTTTAACCATTGATCTCAGAAAGTCGTTGTATACAGCTTACATTTTAGATATTTCTTAAATGGTTTGGCGCTATGCATGATATCAGATTCAGTCTCGATCTAATGGGGATAGTTGCGAACATGTTTCGAGTTTTCAGGTCGATGTTTTGGCTTTGTAGCAATTGGCGGTCGTGGGAGAAACTACCCCCAGAGCAGCCTATTCTCTATTCAGTTTCCTTATCTCCTATACTAAATTTGTCATAACTGGTCTATACGTTGAAATCTTTTGTATTTACAAATTGCATCTCCTGAATTTTATGGTGGATCCAGGGTATGTGCAATCACTGCTGTCATTCTAATTCCAGATCATAATTTCTTTCTTGGAAACTGTTGTGACCAAGTAATTAACAAGGAATAACAAAACAAGAGGTTGCAGATAAATAGTGTATTGATCAGTAAATAGAACAGAAGTGTGTTGCACGACACGGGAGTGTGTGTCGGTTGACCAGTGTTCAGTCTATATCACTTATATTTAGCAGAAACGAGGGTACATATTACACACGGCCGAGTTTAACGTGTGTCATCCGAGCCCGTAGGCTCGGCCAAATATTCCCCGTAGAACCGGCATAAACGAGTTCGGTCTATCTACTTTCCTTACCTCTAGACTCTACCCTTCGGCACAGCCTAGTCCGTGATCCTCTCTGCTCCAAACAGAGACTTCAACAGGAGCTGCGAACATTCACAGCCTCAGTAGAATAGTCTATATCATTGTTAATATTTAACAGCCCCACCCACCACGAGAGATATATGTGGCACAAGGCCGAGTTTAGCGTGGGTTCTTCGAACCTGTTGGGTCGGCCAAAAATATTCCCGTAGAATCCGCATAAACGGGTCTGGGTCTGTGTCTGTCTACTTCCCCGGACGAAACTTTGCCCCCCCCCCTCCGGCCTTGTTAAATATTTTTAACAGTTACCCACGACGAGAGATGTATATAGAACAAGGCCAAATTTAGCTTGGGTTCTCTGAGCCCGAAGGCTCGGCCAAAACTATTCCCTTAGAACACGCATAAACGGGTTCGGAGTCTATCTACCTCCCCGGACGAAACTTTGCCCTTCGACAAAGCCTCGTCCGGGTTCCTCTCAGCCGAGGGAGAGAGTTTGACAGTCGAACAGCCTAGACCACCGTTATATTTAACGGCTCTCCCCACAAGGGATGTATGTGGCACAAGGCCGAGTTTACCGTGGATTATCCGAGCCCGTATGCTGGGCTAAAAATATTCCCTTTGAATCCGTATAAACGGGTTCAGGGCCTGTCTACCTCCCTGGACGAAACTCTACCCTTCAGCAAAGCCTCGTCCAGGTTCCTCTCCGCCGAGTCGGAGAGTTAGACAGTCGAGCAGCCTAGACCACCGTTATATTTAATAGTCTCCCCAAGAAGAATGTATGTGGCCCAAGGCCGAGTTTAACGTTTCTCCGAGCTTGTAGGCTCGGCCAAAAATATTCACTTAGAATCCAAATAAGCGGGTTCGGGATTTGTCTACCTCACCGGAAAAGCTTCATCCGAATTCTTTTCGCCGAGGCGGAGAGTTTGACAGTCATGGTCGGTTTGGCACCATTATATACCCATGTGGGTCGTAGGTGGCGCAAAGCCGAGTTTATCGTGGGTTCTCCTAGCCCGTAAGCACGGCCAAATATATTCCCTTCGAACCCGTATAAACGAGTTCAGGGCCTGTCAGCAAAGCCACGTCCGGGTTCCTCTCTGCCGAGGCTGAGAGTTTGACAGCAATGAACGGCTTGGCACCCTTATGTTTAACGCCCCCCCCACACACACACACGTGGGTCATATGTGGCACAAAGCCGGTGTTGCGTGGGTTCTCCGAATTCGTAGGTTCTGCCAAAAATATTCCCTTTTGAACTCGTATAAACGGGTTCAGAGGCTGTCTACCTCCTTGGCCGACACTCTAACCTTCGGCAAAGCTTCGCCCGTTTCCTCTCCGCTGAGGCGGGGAGTTTGACAGCAAATAACGGTTTGGCACCGTTATATTTAACGGCCCCCTCACGTGGGTCGTATGTCGTATGTGGCAGTAGGCCGATTTAGCGTGGATTCTCCGAGCGCGCATGCTCGACCAAAAATATTCCCTTTGAACCCGTATTAACGGGTTCAAGACCTGTCTACCTCCCCGGACGAAACTTTGCCCTGCGGCAAAGCCTCCTCCGGGTTTCTCTCCACCGAGGCGGAGAGTTTGGCAGTTGAACAGTTTATATCACCGTTCTCTCGAGGCTTACTTTCCTACTAGTTTATAGTAAGTGGAAGAGTCCACAATAGACTCATTAGAGGGAAAACACCACAACAGAAAAGTTGTTTTTCATCATTTCGCCCCAAGCAAGGTAATAAAGCTACTAAGATATAAGAGGTTGCTGAATGTTTGTGTTTGTTTTTGTGTGTGTGTTTGTGCTTGTGTGCGTTTTCGTGTTTGTGTTTGTGTGTTTGTGTGTTTGTGAGTGTGTGTTTGTGTGTGTTTGCGTGTGTGTGTTTTTTGTTTGTTTGTATGTTTTTGTGTGCCTCTGTGTGTGTTTGTGCGTGTGCGATTGTGTGTGTGTGCGTGTGTGTATGATTTCTTGCCTTCTCGAACGAATATTTTACAGAATGAAATCTGTTGCCTGATAGATTTTCTGAAGCACCGACTGAAGAGTTGACAAACGGACGGTACCCACGTTTTACTCTTTAGTTTGCCTTGGTTTAGTATGTTTTACGACACATCAGGCTCAATGGCTTATTTAATGCCGACAAGATGTTTACTGCTGGCAATAATTTTTAAAAAAATGTATTGCTAGTAATCATTTTTTTTTTCAAAAACGTATTCCATATTAAAAAAAAAATTCCAAAAACGTATTGCTGGTATTAAAACCTATTTTTATACTTTCATAATATTTTGACCCCTTTTCGGGAATTAACTATTTGCCCATAGCTGGGATCCTAACAGGTGTTACCACCCAGGGACAGGGTGGACCTGGGAACACCAGAAATTGATAGGTGGTTCCATGCTCCGCAAAATCTCCTAATCGAAGGCCTTGCTGCCGGATCTAGTTTATCGTCATACCCAGGACTGTGTTTGACGGTAGCACCTCGTCTCTTATGTTTATATCTATGTATGTATATGGTTAGGCATGTGGGTAGGTAGTTACTTTTTGTACTAAATACAAGTGCCGTTATAATGTTTCATCGTATAAAATATTTGTTGAATATACTGATGTCCGAAATAAAATAATCGTGCCACAGTAAAAATTATTTTTTAAAAAATAGGTGGGCGTTACCAAAAAGGCACCGTGTCGTGAGTTGGAAGTTGGGAGGGGGTAACTGAAAGCAATAATTTAATTGTGACCAGTCAGTTATGTGCCATGCGTGATACACTCTTAGGCGATCATCTATCTTTCGATACATGACAGACGAGGCAGATTTTTTTTCCCGCAGTAGGTTGCCATTTCTTTCTGCGTTAGACCAGTTGCCATACATGGCTACAGAACCCAGTCTGCCCAGCTATTTAAATATAGCTAGTGGGGGCAAGAGGATTCATAACTTTCCCAAGGGTATTAGAAGGTAAGTGAATGCAATGGATTTTTAGCACACAGAATAGATAATCCTCTCAGTCTTAGATCTCAGATCTTTCGGTTGAATTAATTCATTTTTTTTTTTTTTTTTTGGATGAGACCTGCAAATGTGAAGCTGTTCATCGCGGAGCGAAGATGAGGATATTAGTGGCAGTGAAATTATCACTAAACACAAAAAATGTGACTCATCCCATAAACGCCATAAGAGAAAGTCACTCACCGCATATTTTCGCAATTACTTGTCGAGTAAAAATAAGGACAAACTAAAAGCATTTCTAACTTGGCTAAATCCGCGACTTCCAACGCCTGTTTTAACTTTAATTCATTGGATGGACGATTGAGTCGTATATACGAACATGTATCAACAGAAACCGGACATATTTTTCGTTGTATGAAATTGTTTAATATAATGCAATGTTTGTCTAAATTAACCATCCATTTTTTTTTAATTATTTATTTTTCTGTGTAATCTCTTCATTTAAACCCTTATAAATATTGATACTATATATTACATATTTCCCATATGTCACATATTCATACTATATATCACATATTTCACATATATCACATATTGATATTATATATCACATATTTCACATATGTCATATATTAATACTATATATCACATATTTCACATATGTCACATATTGATACTATATATCATATATTTCACATACTATATATATACATACTATATATATATATACATATTGATATATACATATTGATATATACTATATATATATATATTTTATATATACATATTGATACTATATATCACATATTTTACATATTATATATACATGTTCACTATATTATATATCAAATATTTCACATCAAGATTGTGATCAATAATACCTATCACGAAACAAATTTATTGATTTTGAACAATCTAAATGAAAAGACAGTTTATATATATATATATATATATATATATATATATATATATCAGGTGTAACAGCATAATTGTCCACCCAATAAAATGTTTAATATCTAAAAATGTACTAAACTGAGCCTCTTTTTTCCAAGTATTCAGATAACAAATTTAGCCATCTTGACACCATTTGTCGTAAGAATCACAGAAAAATCCTTTGAGTTTTTCAGCTAGGAAGAGAACAGATTAAAATTGTTTTGTGTCAGCCACACTATGTCTTCCCAACTGAACAATGGTGAGAGGAAAAAGATCATTCAGGCCTTCAGTAATGGTAACAGCATTCATACTCTGACTTCCATTTTCAAAGTCTATTCAAGAACCTTCAATAGAACAGTGAATAAGTTTTAGAAAAGGGGTAACAGTAGAAAGAAAAAACTGGATCAGGAGGTCACAACAGGAAGAGGGATAGTCATTTCAACTTAAAGCTAAAGAGATCAATTAGAAAAGATCGAACTCAATACATAAAGCGTTTGACATCTGAGAGAGGAGTATCAGCTGACAATCCAAAAGGCAGCGAAAAAGACTTGAAAATGAAATCGTACATAAAACCTATGAGGAAACTTGTTAATGCAGGACAGAAAGTTAGAAGTTTAGAGAGGGCGAAGATCATCTTGAATAAGCTGGAAAATGATCCTGGAAGTATATATATATATATATATATATATATATATATTTGAACTTTATTTCAATCCCTCATAACCTTCTGATCGTTAGCTATGATTAATCAGTTATGAACATGTCATCTTCGTTTATGATCGATTTCACCACGATTCTTCTGCTAAGATTGGAGAGTAATTATACATTCTTATTGCTCAAAGTAGATTCTAATAGTACCAAAAGAAACCTGGGAGTATTCCTGTAAGATATCTTTAATGCTTTCTAAGATACAACGATTCAAAGATTAATCTAACTGGAAAATTTTGCTGTTACACGTGTTGGACAATTTTGCTGTTACACCCGGTATATGCAAAAGGATATTTGTGTGAAGATATTTTCATGCAATCCCAAGACCTGTAATCAATTAGGATCGTAATGTTACGATATATGTCGCAGCCACAGTAGCGGTGGTGTTTTCCTCTCCAGCCAAATTTTGAATTCAGAGTTTTCCTTCTCATAGACCGGCTACTACTCAAGACTATTGGACCCAGTCACTCCTGCTATTTACTCGTAGCTTGGGTGGGCGGAATAGATGCATTCATACCTTTCACAAGTTCGTCAGTGAATGGAATGAACACGACTACAATATCGAACTGCGCTCTCCGATTCCGCAATCCGAAACCGCTACCCATTACTCCCACGTGTCAAGAAAGAAAGAAAGAAAGAAAGAAAGAAAGAAAGAAAGAAAGAAAAAGAAAGAATTAGAGATGAAGGGTGTGGAACGAAAGAAAGAAAGAAAGAAAGAAAGAAAGAAAGAAAGAAAGAAAGAAAGAAAGAAAGAAAGAAAGAATTAGAGATAAAGGGTGTGGAAAGAAAGAAAGAAAGAAAGAAAGAAAGAAAAGAAAAGAAAGAAAGAATTAGAGATAAAGGGGGTAGAAAGAAAGAAAGAAAGAAAGAAAGAAAGAAAGAATTAGAGATAAAGGGGGTGGAAAAAAAGAAAGAAAGAAAGAATTAGAAAGAAAGAAAGAAAGAAGTGTATAAAAAAGAATGACAGATGAAGAAAGAAAGATTGAAAGAAAGAAGAAAAAGAAATAATGAATTCTGCACTTATATACTTATATACTGAGTTATTAACTCAAGTCTTCAGGTGTTGCAGTTCGGAAAATGCCAATAATTCAACTGTTGAGATCATAAGCAAAATTTTCCCTTTTCTTTACTCCATATTGTAAGTCCAATCTATCTATCTATCTATCTATTTATCTATCTATCTATCTATTTGTCTGTCTGTATATTATCTATCTATCTATCTATCTGTCTGTCTGTCTATCTCTCTGTATATTATCTATCTATCTATCTGTCTATCTATCTATCTATTTCTGTGTGCGTAGGTGTGTTAAAAGAGGAAGACAAAAATCAAACTCAAGCATGAAACTAAAAAACGAAATACTTACACACTGAAGAATTCTGCACAGGCAAAATGTTCCTATACTGCTTGTTGCACCACACACGCACACTCGCTCGCGCGCACACACATACACACACACACATATATATAAGTGTGCTCATTGTTTGCTTGTTTGTTTGCGTTTCCTGTCTTTTGTGTGGTGTTAGCAAAGCCGGGGGATGTCAAGGATTACGTCACCGACTGTTCAACAGCGAATTGGATGAAATTTAAAAAAAAAATATCTAGGGCAATTGGTCGTCTGACCCTGTGAGAACCTTTTTCTGCTTGCAAGTAACAAGTGGTAACAAGCCCCTGACTCGCTCACAGCGACTCATAATCTGAAACTCCCACGACACCTAGGACTACATTTGCGCCCCCAAAAAAGTCTTTTACACGCATTCTCAAAAATTGTCAGTGCAAGTATAAAGAAGTCATATATATATATATATATATATATATATATATATATATATATATATATATATATATATATATATATATATTGTGCAGTAGATCATTATTTAAACATATATTGTTAAATATAACAGACAGCGAATGTCTATTATGCTTGATCATCAGCCGTTCTAAACTTCCTACTGTGGCTTTAATTTTGGGAGAAAAATAAAGACAAAAGTTTTTATCAACAGAAGCTGAGAAAATTTCTGTTGAGAAAATTTCTTTCTCTCGGGTGGTCATGTACGACGTCATAGAACCGCATTACGAATTTACGATTTGCATCTGCTATTCTGCGACCGTTATCGTAGCATCGTAATCTTCTATGTAAACAAAACAGGATGTCATATTTGATGGTGAACATCTCTGTTGTAATGTCCATATAACCACTCTGATGATGGCTCATGTGAGCCGAAACCTTAGATCGAGGACCTGCATAATAAAAATATATCCAATTTTTTGTCTTTATTTTCTCCCTAAATTAATTAATTTATTTTATAAATGCCTGCTTCAGAAATATTATTGCTATTAGTGTTTGAGGATCTTAGTATATCCATAATGGTTTTGTGTTTGTGATTATTTCAAGATTATTTAGATGGGATAGGTTATTCTGGATAGTGGACATGACAGAGTTGGTCGGTAGTATTATTCATCTGTTTCCATGTAATTTATTATTGTGGATTATGTTATTAATATTCATTAATATTAATATTTAAATAATATTAAATATTAATACCTTAATATTTCTGAAAGCAGGCATTTATAAAATAAATTGCCAAAACTGTTCCTCCTAATATACTGGAGAAACAAGTAGAAATTAAAAAAACGCATTTATGAGAGCAAAAAGAAACTTAGCTAATGCACTAGTCATACACAGAAATAAATTCAACCGCAATTTCGATTTTAAAAATGCTACACTCATAAAAAAGAAAATAACTCGCTCAGAAGGAAAATCCTCGATAGTGCCGCCATTGAATATTATCCAAATATTAATCTACGCCAGGGCCTTTTCCCTATTTCACCTTTCTTAAGAGAATTACTACTCTCCCAAGCAAACGTATAGAACTGTATTAAGAAATCAAAAGAAAATGGTTGAATTCATCAACACAGCAATAAAAACAATATCTCTACACGTGACAGTAAATGACGTAATTTCCAGTTAACAGTATGAAAATAGCGTTCTCTAAATTCTTCCAGTTGCTAAGGACATTTTTTTTGTTATTATTAATTACTTTATTTAATAAATTAATTTCGCTTTAGCCTTGAAAAAGTCCACATTGGACGAAACGCGTCGGCTACTATTACAATTTGGCTATTGTCTTTTACATTGATAAATATTGTCTTTTTTTACAGGTTAACTCAGAAATTTTTCATATATATATATATATATATATATATATATATATATAATTATCAACCAGACATTTTCGGGCAGATCCTGTTTTTAAAGCCAACTATCTTTGTAATCATATCAAGAGATAAAACAATAATAAAGACAAATATGTTGAAACGTTCTCCTATCTTATCGCCTGTCCTGAGTATGACGATAAACTACATCCGCGTCCTGGGTATGATGATAAACTACATCCGCGTCCTGGGTATGACGATAAACTACGTCCAACAGCAAGGCCTCTGAGCAGGAGGTTTTGAGGAGGGTGGAACCACCTCTTAATTGCTAATGTTCCCAGGTCCACTGTAACTCGGGGTGGTAGCGCCTGTTAGGGACACAGCTATGGATAAATAGTTAACCCTCAAACTGGTATCAAAACACTATGAAAGTGTAAATATATGTTTTAATACCAGAAATACTTTGTAAAAAAAAATTATTACCAGCAATATATTTTTTAAAATCAAATATTACTAGCAATATATTTTTTGAAAGAAAATATTACCAACGAAGGATAATTCTTACCAGAAATAGATTTTTGAAGGAAAAAATATTACCAACAAATAAAATTTTTTCGGCATTAAATAACCCATTTTGGTTGATATGCCGTTAAACAAAATAAACCAAACCAATCTAAACCAAAGAATACATATTCTATTCATACGAATCTATCCTAAAAATGTTGTCGGCATTAAATAACCCATTGAGGTTGATATGCCGTAAAACAAAACAAACCAAACCAAATTGAACCTATCTTATCGCTTTGATTAAAACCCTATCCAGGAGACTTGATTGTAAAAATGAATTTATTCTAAAGATGAATTCAGTTTAACAGTCAAGTAAAAAGTAGTGGATGTGATTCCAAAAATCTGATTAAAGACAAGATAACTGAAAATTTAATTCTATTTACCGAAGATGGAAAATGAGACACCAAGCTCCAGAGAGGCTTTTGGATAGCTTTTGTGATGTCAACGAATACTTGTTGATACTTTTGTAATTTCAACGAATACTTGTTGACACTTTTGTAATGTCAACGAATACTTGTTGTCACTTTCGTAATGCCCGTTGCAGTAGAGACTTTGTAATCACACATGCAATTATAGTAACGCCGTTGAACAATGCTGGTGCCAGACGCCTTCGAATATCACTCGCACTAATAGTACTTGCCCGATAATAGTCGCTCGAAAAGTAGCCACTGAATAGTGATACGAATAGTAATCCGCATAGTGATCAGTATAGAGAATAGTGTAGAGAAGAGAGTAGCGATCTATACAGTAATAGAGGATAGAACAGAAATGGTGATCCGTATAGTAATTGAGGATAGAACAGAAATGGTGATACATATGGTAATAGAGGATAGAGTAGAAAGTCATCGTTTAGACGTCACGCTATTTCCCACATATACATCATACTTACTATCCCGATCTACTTAGTTCAAAATGGGATCGCCTGTGTTTAGTCTCTGGCGATCAATGTTCAAACTACAGTGTCGGCAGCGACATTTATTCCAATATAAACAACCGCGAAAGATATCTTCTAAAAGCTAAATAAAGTATTAAGAAACTGGAAAATCTCGGACTGCTGTCCTCATCATTATTGAATATTCACGACGTTTCAACAGTTGTACACTCCGGCCTTCTTCAGGTGATTGGAATTTCGAACTGAAATCTTTATTTCATCGACCGGGCCCCTGAGCCATGTTTCCTCAAGGTCCAGGAGATAAAAGCGTTGGTTGGATCCAGAGACTTGACCCAAAGATTTGTGAGTTCAATAACTGGCTCCTGCAGTAATGAACAAAAACTGGGCGTTTTGAGTCAAAGGGAAATAACTAAGACATCTGGAAGAGGCATGCCACGCGGAATTAGAACAATCTACCCCGGTGTACGAAATAAAGAGTTCAGTTCGAAATTCCAGTCAGCTGAAGCAGGCCGGAGAGTATAACGTCCGAAACGTCGTGAATATGGTAATAAAGATGAGGACAACAGCCAGAATCATGTAAATAATTACAATACCTCATCTCAGAAATATAGACTGATAGGAAAATCTCGTTATAAAACCTTTCTAGAATTAGGAAAAAAGGAAAGAGTACTTAGATTGTATGTAATATTAGTCCTCCTACATTACAGTGGTTGCTGGGCATTCTCATCACGGAGGGTAAAAAAAAAACTGAGAGAATAGAAATGATCTACAGAAGGATACTGAGAATACCATGGACAATAACGAAGTTTTCGAGAAATTGAAAACAAAAAGGACACTTATATGGATCATCAGAAATACACAGTTGCAATTTCTAGGGCGCATAATGAGGAAAGAGGGCTTGGAAATTTTGACACTCACATGACATATAGAAGGCAAGAGGGACATGGAGAAATAACGTATAACCTACCTCACGAGAATGCATAAATGGTTGGCAGAGCAGAGGTTAGGTCTTATAGCAAAGAGATAATCTTTACTTAGGGCTAAAAAGGACAGGAAGTTGTGGCGAGCCACGTTCCCTCAAAGGTCACATCACATAGAAGAAGATACACATACATATATACATACAAGGTGCGATGTGTAAATTGTTGCCATTTTATATTTTTAATTTCGCGCATGCGCGTTGTTTGTTTTTGATTTTCTCGACTGCAAAGCATAGTAGGTTCAGTTAGACAGTATCTGTGCAAAAAAGTGCACCATGGCGCAGTTCAATCCGACAGAAATTTGGGAACGGGATACTATACTGCTTGTCATTTACGCCGGAAGCTACAGATTGTTTGGGTGTCAATCTGAGGACAGTGCAGAGGATTCGGAAAGAGTTGAATGAGTCTGTTGGTGATTACGAAGTTACGGCAGCTCGAAAAACTCACTCTGATCGACCCGATAAGAAAATAACTCCCGAATCAGTTGGTGAAACCTGTCCTGGGTCAACAGAGTGACTGCTGGAAGACGCTGTCTGTCAACTGGACTCTGCACCATGCCACACAGGCAGGAGAACCCAGTCATAGCTGTAAGATAATTTCTGCAACCACATTACTCCATACAACTGGCAACCTAAATCCCCTTGATTATTACGGGCCACACTTGAGCGAAAGACGAACAAAACTCCTTGTAACACCAGAGATGAA